CGATTGTCCACCGCCACCCCGCCGCCGCCTGTGGTACTGTGTTTCCATGCATTGCTGGCTGTGTAAGCGTAATCTGCACCCAAAGTGCATGACGGGTGTACAAACGTACGAATACACAGACCCATATTCATCAGTCATGCATTTGCAAGCGCAGCGGAACGGAGAAAAAGTTTCAATGTCTGTCATAGCTACACCGAGTGACCGATCGCTTTGAAACTTTCAGCGATTGCTAAGAGCAATAGCATGTACAAAATGTATATCTCAGAATTTTGATATCGATAACCTAAGGTCAGGTCAATTTTGCGACCTCCCTAATTTAGGGTGGCCCTCTGTATGGGGGTGAACTTTCAAACGAATATTGTCTATGCTCCAAACCCGGATTCTTGTTCCTTTTGACCCAGAAACGTGCTGTGCAAAGTTTCATTGAAATCGGAATATATTTAACCGGTGCTCAACGACTCTGAAATTTTACTCAGCGAACGCTAGTCACAAGCACTCCGGGTCCCAGTCCCACGTTGCTCTCGTGGGAGTATTAGCCGCTTTCCTCTCCTGGCGGGGGTTATGTGGTTGCTACTTGCTAGCCACTCATTGTCGCCCGGTCCGTGCAAGCGTTCCCTTCCTGGTGTCCGGGAACTGGCGCCGATGGTCCGCGACGACCTGGACGAGGAACTGGAGTTGTTCTTCGTCCTTCGTCAGGAGCCGGTTATACTCCTGAATCAGGGCGACGCCTTGTTCCGCGTGGTCATTGGTGACCGACAGCTTCTCCAGCGCTTTGTACGCCTTGCCGTACGCCTCATCCTTCTTCCAGTCTGCCGGTTCCAACGCCAGGAATCCCTTGTCGATGGACATCTTGGAGAAGAACGAGGACGTATTGGAGGTCACGAAGTCCTCAAGGCTGCAGCCGCTGATCGCTGAAGCGGGAATGGTCACTCGCTTCCGGGCTGTGTCGTTGCCGTCCTTCTCCTCAATCGCCGCTACCATCTTCTTCTTTGTTTCTGACGAAACCCGGTCGTCGAAGAACGCCAGGGCTACCAGCTCTTCCGAGAGGTACCAGAGGTGGCCGAGGAGCTTGTTTGTCGCGGCCTTGGAGACCTCCGCGTCCTCGTACCCGTCCAGTGCCTGAAGCAGCTGAAGATCGTTGAGCGGAGCCACGACAGCAAGTGGGGCTTGCGTCCAGGCTTTGCTGTAGAGGCGGGCGGAGAACATGGCCACCCTCAACAGTCCGCGCTCCTCCTTCGGCGTCAGTTTGACCTGTCCCCTGAACAGCCACACCTTGAGCGAGTACAGCACCTTGCTCATCCACCTAGCGTGGTGCATGGGGGCAGAGGCACGGAAGCGTATTCCGCGGGGAGGTACGCCGCCGAGAAAGATGACGGTTAGTTCCAGAAGTTCCCGGTAGTCGTCCCGAAGGTCTGTTCGCTCTTTCAGGGCCTGAAGGAACCACTTGATGTCGACCTCTCCTGCTCCATCCTCGATCGGCTGGAACTCGCCTTGGTTGATGAAGGGCCACCTCTCCTGGAAACGCTTGAACAGCAGGACAGCAGGCCCTGTAGTTGGCCCCATCACCGACGTGAAGACCGCCTCGATCACGAGCTCGAGAATGTGGTGCCGGCAGGCGAGGTAGAGGAGGTCGTTCTTCAGCTGCTGCTCAATCAGGGTACACGCCCCGTTGTGGCACTGGCGACCCGTGTTGGCGGCGGTGGTGTCAAAGGACATCCCCACGACCCGGTCAGCGACGCTCCACTTATCCAACGCCTCTACGACGCCCTTCGCTTCATTCGCCCCTCTTCCACTGGGAAGCTTCGCCACCTGAAGCAGCTGAACCTCCCCTCCCCCAGACACGAGGATGGGCAGGCGGTCGACGTGGACGTTGCTGGTGAGATCCGGCATCAGCTTCCCGTCCCAGTGGACTACCAAGGGGCCTTCTACTCGCAGTTTCTCCTTGAGGGCGGAGGCCAGTTGCTCGCGGTGACGACGGCGCTGGCTTTGGATCGATGTCCTGTTGATGTTGTACTCAACTGTGTCGTGCCCCAGGGCACGCGCTGTCTCGGTGAGGACGAACACTGCGCCACGGTCGCTCACCTTGACGCGATCCAAAGAGGCCGCCACGTCCGGGGTGACGATGTTGAGGTTCGCTCGAGGCCGTTTGGGTGGGACTGGGGAGATACCACGTGTGGGGCTTCCTTCGGCGCTGGTGCTAGAGGAGATTGAGGACGAATCCTCCAACTGGACTCTTGCCGCGGACGTCGACGCCTCCTCCTCCGCGCGTCGCTTCCTCGCCTCCTGTGCCGCTTGCCGCTGTGACGATCGCTGTTCTTGGGCAGCTAGTGCTGTGTCCACCCCTCCCATGCGTGCGTAAAAAGTAAAATTTTAAGGTCGTTGAGCACCGGGTAAATATTATTCGATTAAAAAAAAAATACTCGCGTGGTTTTCTCATGGAGTGGAACAAGAATCCGGGTTTGGAGACTGGATTTTCAAACTTTCGAAAATAAGGGCCACCCTACTCCCTATTATAAGTCAATGGGAGAAAATTGAAATGCGCCTCTTTTGGACGAAAAACATTATAAACACTCCCAACCACTGAATTACAAGTGGTTTAGACACACTGAACATGAAAATGGTGTCCGTGACCCCTGTTTATGCCCTGAGGTCATCTTAGGTCACGAATGGTATCTAACAGTTTTTCGCAAATAACTTTTGATAGAGGCATGCTAGAGCGATGAAAACGCCTTAGATGTGTTCAGCTTGACGATACGGATCGACTGATATGCAACATGAACTTTCCGGTCAGGTCATGACCTTGACCTGAGGTCAAATTTTCAAGTTGACCTTTCAAGGTCAAGTTATAGTTCATTCGATGCGTCTTGACGAGAGGAACACGATGCCGTTAAAATTAAGCTCGTACAAGGCTTGGGTCAAAAGTTATTGCAGAAAGACTGTTTCCGATTAAATCGGCTATTTTTGCAGTTTTTGCCCTCTGCAGGCAAAACCGTTGACGTTAGGTCAAATCTGAGAAAATTATTCAGAAAGGGCGTTAATAGGACTATCGAATGCGCTTTTCCGCGGCGCTGTAGCTCTATTGGTTCCCGAGTTATGCGTTGGCTTCTTGAAAATTGTCGACATTCGACCTGGAAATCGGCGAAATTTTGCCTTCAATGACCTCTGGTGACCTGACCTTTGACCTGACCAAAAAATGGACCGAAGTGATTTCCTCATTATTTTTGACGCTCTTTCGAACACCGCCTTCCGCGTATCGCTACGTGGCCCAGGAGCCGAGTTAGAAGGGGGGGTGTTCAAACACCCCCCCCCCCCCAGCAGGGCGTGGAAATCCAGGACCCCCAGCCGGGCGCGGGATAACCACGGTGACTATGCTATAGCATGCAATGTCGGCTGGACATTCTTTCTGTTACACAAAAAGTGCGATGAAGTGATGGCGGATAATCTCTTGAATTTAGTGTCATTCTGTGTAAAATTAAACGCTGTATCGAATGCTAGTCTAGAATCATATGTCAATGATGTCTGTCAATGCAAAATTGCACTGCAAACTTGAATTTTCTCGTGGGACCGGCCGCCGGCGGGCCGAGCGTCACGTGACCCCAATCTCAGGAGCCGGTCAAGGTCACATGGCCTGAGTACAGTTAGTAGTTCCCAGATTCGCCGCCAGAGTAGCGCCACTTGCAACGGAGCAAAAGAATGCTATATTGCGCGGTAGACTTTTAAAATGAACTTGAATATTTCTTCTTTGCCGACAGAACCCCAATGTCCCCGCTTGTATTGTCCTTGGACCCTAACGACAACATGCAAGCTTTTATTCACAGTATGTATGTACTGCACGGACAATGGACAGAGGATCAGAAAGATGTATCACGGTAGGTAGGTAACTGATATCGGGATGAAGAGGAGGGAGTATGCGAGCCAGAAGTGGTTGAGCTGGCCGGAAATTTGAAGTTTCACTTGTCTCATCTGGTCATATCGCGCACCCCCTGAATTTGAAAAGTGCCGCCATGGTACGGACTATTGGTGCCAATCGGAATTTCTTTTCTTGGAATTCCAATTTTTGTCCAATTCCAATTTGGAATTTGGACGGAATTCTTAACATTTTTTGGAAATTAATCGGAACACAAGGCCTTTAAAATTTAAAATTTTAAAACGGAGGCCTTTAAAACGCTTTTAAACACTTTTAAAATTTACGCAAAAAATGCAAAAATCGTTAAAAATTGGAATAGCCCCCGCTTTGGACAAAATTGGAAATTTACTTGGCAATTTCTTGGAATTGGATCGGAATTGGAATTGAAATTTAATGAAATTGGCACCACTAGTACGGACACAGCCGTCTAGCCGGGGGGGAGGGGGGGGGGCGGGGGTCAACTGCCATATAGTGGGATGTTCCATTTCATTTATCAATTGTTGTTTCTCCAAAGCAGCATAAATATGAATCATGAAGAAGGCCCAGTTATTGAAAAGGAGCTATGTTCACAGCCCTTTTACCCAACACCCCGCGGCCGCCGAGCGCAATTATGATCGGTAGTCGGTACGATGAATGCTGATTGTCAAGAATTTAGGTCAAAGGGTCAGCAAATCGCAGTATCTGACATAGGTAGGACCTTATCAGTCTCAGAAGTCATATGACCATTGACGGTCACTCCGGGAGGGCCCGATAGCGGACGATCGTCTCAGAACTTGTCACACCTCTCAGTTTCCGCGCCGGCGGCGACCAGGCAGGTGCTCGAGAGCTACCGAAGTCCGCGGCGCACGGTCCACTCGAACTACCGAGCAGAAGTGGGCACCCCTCGCTCGAACTCGCCTCTGTAGGTCTCCAATTGAAGCACCGTGAATTCAGGTCCCCTCAGGTTGGCTCGTCGCAGGATCTTCCCGACATTGCGACATCAGGGTCCAGGATTGTTCGTCTTTTGAGTTGGCAGCAGTATATCATCTGTCTGTCCCTTCAACCCTAAGGTTGCCCACAACACGATAGCCGCTCCACCTCAGAACCGACAACTATGGACGGCCCGGAAGCCAAGCCGTCGGTTTTGGACGGTCAGGAAGCCAAGTCGCCAGTTATGGACGGCCCGGAAGCCAGGCCGTCGTTGGGCGCCGTCGCTCCGACGTCGTCGTCGCGTCGGCTGCTGTACGCCCTGACGGCACTCTCGGCGATCGGCGGCTTCCTGTTCGGCTACGACACAGGCGTCGTGTCGGGCGCCATGCTGCTGGTGCGCGAGGACATGGCGCTCGACGACCTCTGGCACGAGCTGATCGTGTCAGCCACCATCGGCACCGCCGGCGTGTTCGCGCTGGTGGGCGGCGACGCCGCCGACCGGTTCGGACGCAAACCCGTGATCCTGGCCGCCAGCGTGGTGTTCGTCGCCGGCAGCGTGCTGATGGCCGTCTCCGGGACCAAGGAGGTGCTCCTGGTCGGCAGGATCATCATCGGAGTCGGCATCGGCCTGTCGAGCATGTCGGTGCCGATATACATCTCGGAGGCGGCGCCGGCGGCGGTGCGCGGAAGACTCGTCACCGTGAACGTGGCGTTCATCACGGGCGGCCAGCTGGCAGCCTCGCTGATCTGCGGGGCGTTTTCAGGGGTGGACCACGGCTGGCGCTACATGCTCGGCCTGGCCGCCGTGCCGGCCGCGCTGCAGACGCTCGGCTTCCTCGCCATGCCGGAGACGCCGCGCTACCTGGCCACCCGCGGCCGGCGCGACGCCGCGCTACAGGTGCTGCTGCGACTGCGGGGCGCGCCGGTCATCGCCGAGGGCGAGCTGCGCGACGTCGAGCGCGACATCGCGCAGGAGCACGAGGAGCGCTCCTCGCGTCCGTCTAACGTGCTGCTGGCGGTGCTGTCGGCGGCGGGCACGCGGCGCGCGCTGGCTGTCGGCTGCGGTCTGCAGGTGTTCCAGCAGCTAGCCGGCATCAACACGGTCATGTACTACAGCGCCAGCATCATCACACTGGCAGGCGTGCGCGACCCAACCACGGCCATCTGGTTGGCTGCCGCGCTCTCCGCCATCAACTTCAGCTTCACGTTCGTGAGTATGGCGCTTGTTGAGCGGCTGGGTCGGCGTCCGCTGACGCTCAGCAGCATGGCTGGCTCAGCGCTCAGCCTGGTGGTGCTAGCTGCCAGCTTCCACATCAGCTACCAGCACTCGGCGCCGGTCCAGCTGTGGCCGTCCGACAGTTGCCACTACTCCATCTGTGACGACTGTGTCGTCTCGGCCGACTGCGGCTTCTGCTTCCTGGAGGCGGCAGACGGCGGCGCGCTCAACGGCTCGTGCGTGCCTTTCGTGTCCCGCCAGAACACCTCAGCGGTGGTGGGACGATGCGTCGGTCTGTCCGCCGCCGCCGGAGACACCTTCACCTGGGCGCCCGACTGGTGTCCGTCCGACTACTCCTGGATGCCAATCCTCGGCCTCTCGCTCTACCTGGTCTGTTTCGCCTCCGGCATGGGCCCGATGCCATGGACCATCAACTCGGAGATCTATCCGCTGTGGGCGCGTGGCACGTGCAACGCCATCGCCACGTCCTGTAACTGGTTCTTCAACCTGCTCGTGTCGCTCACGTTCCTGACGCTGACGACGGCCATGACGAAGCACGGTACGTTCTACATGTACGCCGGCCTGGCGTCGCTCGGCCTGGTGTTCTTCTACCTGACCGTGCCGGAGACGAAGGGTGTCTCCTTGGAGAGGATCGGGGAGCTGTTTGAGAAGCCCTGGGGCCTGCACCCGCCAGCCCGACTGGCGCCGGACGCGGTGGAGGAGAAACCGGAGGGCAGCCGCGCATGCAGTGTGTCGGTCCAGCAGTACTCGAACCCCGCATTCCTCGGTGATGACGGAGCGTAGTGGGTTTGGCAGAGCCACGGAATACACTCTTGGACTACGTTCGGAGCGTCTCGAACCATATACTTTGAAATAAAACAATGTCTATGACAGTCGGCTGCTCGTTACATACATATATGAGAGAGCAAAAGGAGAGTATGTGACAATGGAGAAGCGGAGAACTGTGTGCTCCATTGGCGTGTTCGCGTCATGAGCAAAGAGCAGTGCTGCTGTCATTTGACAGACGCTGTCACTGTCATAAGACCATTTTGAAAAGACCATTTACGAAGTTCCGAACAAATGCTGATACTGTAGCATTTACAAATATGTTATGCACATATTGTGCTGTTATATAGTTGTATTGTTACGTTGGGATGAATGCAACGCAAAATGATCATTCGAAGCAACGGACACTGGTAAGTGGTAATAGTCGTGTTTCATGTTGATCTTTCCTCAAGAACACCGATAAAAAAAAACTTTCCGCTTTCGGAAGAATCAAGCAAATGCGTCTTAATGAAAATCTGTTCAAATCAGCGTCTCTGAGTTGCATTACCTGTTATGGGTCATATCAGTTAAGCGAAATGGAACGTCTTTACAATTGTTGGTGGACTAAATCCCCTCATTGTGGTTGACTTAACATGAGCCTTTTGTTTCGATTCGTTAGTACAGAAGTATCATTGATTGACCACCACTTAATCTTTCGGTGTGCGTCGCACGATGATAGCGTATCAATGCGATCACGAGAGCACTCACGGCTGGGAACCTTAGCAGTTAGCATAACATCTGGCGACCCACCCTACGTTATCGGTGTGAAGTGCGGAAAAATTTCGACGGGAGTGTCTAAATAAAAATAGTGCGACGAGTGTTCACAAACATGTTCACGGTGGTATCATACACCCGTATAACACCTGTTATTCTACCCGACACGACAAGACGACTAGGTACGTGTCATCCTTGGATCAAATACGCATGGTTCCCAAATGACTTATGAACAGTCGTTTCGGGATTAAAGATTGCATAACATCTATGTAAATGCAGCAATTGTCACCGTGAAAGCACCTGACCGATTCACAGCACTGGCCACTGCATACCCTAAATCACACAAAACAGGGAACGAGCGTCACATATGTATTAAACCATATCCCCCAACCGACAGAAAATTGAACAGGACGTCTCACTTTGACGTAGCCATCAGGCCGGCCACCGTCTCGAAGTCGATCTTTTCCCGGATGTTCTTGGTCTTGACGCTCTCGTCCTGGTTGCGGATGAAGATGGTTTCACCCTCGTCGGACCATCCGTACTTGGTCACCCAGGCGGACAGCTCGGAGGCTGCGGGACGCGGGTAGCGGTCACTCAGAAATCAGAACAACGGCTTTCACACGGGTCTGGATAGTGAGTTCGTGCATGTGGAGGGGGGGGGGGGGTCGTGCAGTTCGTGCATGGGGGCCCTTTACATAAGACGATAGCCTGTAGGTTGCCGACTGCCGAGTGCGCAAAATTGTCCGAGAACTCATGTTTGTCGAGAACAACGCAACTGTTTGTTTTTGAATAGAAAACACAGCTCTAACGAATCGTGTGTCAGCCATATTGAACACGAGCCTTCGGTTATGGTATCCTAAAGAACGTTTGCCTGTAGTAACTCAACAGAATGAAGACTGAAAGACAAAAGAAGCTTTAAGTTTGGTTCTTCATAACAAAGCGTTTGGTTAGTAGATTGACCCAATTGACCTCTGTTCAGACATTTTAACCACACTTGACGAAACATTCCACCAAGCGCCACTGGCTGAGGTCTTCAAGTCTTTAAAACATTTCTTTTTAATCTAGCTTTCACTGACCGGCGAGCCATATAAAGCCAGACTTGTACGGAAATATGTACGTTACCCTATGTAAGCAGTTCATATCGTGAGATGAACACCGTCGACAAGTAACATCATTAACCCGCGCCCTGTTGAGGGGGGTGTTCGCCTGTGTTTTTTCGCGCATATCTAAAAAAAACGGCAACGCGGAGCGCCGCCGTTTTTAGGCACACCTTATCATACATCAATTCTACACGTTGTAAAAATTTCAGACCAAGGTCATTCAATGTCAGGTCACCAGGTCACTTGAAGTGACCTCACCTCATAAAAAGTATCAATGTCTGCCATAGCTACACCGAGAGACCGATCGCTTTGAAACTTTCAGAAATTGCTAAGAGCAATAGAATGTACAAAATGTATCTCTCAGAATTTCGATATGGATGACGTAAGGTCAGATCAATTTTGCGACCTCCCCATTATAAGTCAATGAGAGTAAACTGAATTGCGCCGATTTTGGACGAAAGCCATAATAAACACTCCCGCCATAATAAACATTCCCAAACACTGAACTACAAGTAACTTAGACACAATGAACATGAAAATGGCGTCAGTGGCCCCTGCTTATGCCCCTGAGGTCATCTCAGGTCACGAATGGTATCTAACAGTTTTTCGCAAATAACTTTTCATAGAGGCATACTAGAGCGATGAAAACGCCTTAAATGTGTTCAGCTCGACGATACGGATCGACTGATATGCAACATGACCATTTTCGATCAGGTCATGACCTTGACCCGAGGTCAAATTTTCAAGTTGACCTTTCAAGGTCAAGTTATAGTTCAGTCGATACGTCTTGACGAGAGGAACACGATGCCGGTGAAAGTAACCTCGTGCAAGGCTTGGGCCAAAGTTATTGCAGAAAACTGTTTCGAAAAATAAGCTATTTTGGCAGTTTTTGCCCCCTGCAGGCAAAACCGTTGACGTTAGGTCAAATCTGAAAGAATTATTCAGAAAGCGCGTTTATAGGGCTATCGAATGCGCTTTTCCGCGGCGCTGTATCTCTATTGGTTCCCGAGTAATGCGTTGATTTCTTGAAAATTGTCGACATTCGACCTGAAAATCGGCGAAATTTTGCCCTCAATGACCTCTGGTGACCTGACCAAAAAAGTGACCGAAATGATTTCGCCATTATATTTGGCGCTCTTTCGAACACCGTCTTCCGCGTATCGCTACGTGGCCCAGGAGCCGAGTTAGAAGGTGGGTGTTCAACCCCCCCCCCCCCCAGCAGGGCGTGGAAATCCAGGACCCCCAGTGGGGCGCGAGTTAAATCAACTGACAAACATCCCAGCCGGCCGGGCAGTTCCGTGCCTAAGCCGAGACCGGAGCGCACGTGCTCACCGCTGACGTTGAGTGCCGACTGGACCAGCTCCTTGCCGATCCTCTGGTAGGTGATGTTCAGAACATGGCACACGTATCGCCGCACAGAGTCTTCGAAACCCTGCCCACGAGAGCGGCACAGCTGTGACATCCATACTATGTGCCAGCGATCATTCTGAATCAGGGATGGGGTTGTAGAGAGCATAAAACAGCTTTACCTACCAGTTACTTTACCACGGTTGTTATCTTAGCTCTTCCAATATTTATTCATAAATTCATCGAAAAACAACCAATTTCGTCCCAAATTATGCTTCCTTAATTTCTCCACAATATTGCTTGAAAATCATTACTGTCAATGCCTATAACTTGTCCTCACCCAAAATGGGGGATTGGGGAGCATGGGAAGTCACAAAAAAGAGCCCTGACCTGCACTGGCGTCTCTTGAGCTCGTACCACAGTCACTGACTCTGTATGGGAGTCGCTGGCCCCGTACCGAAGTCTATGATCAGTACCGGAGCCTGTGATCTCCTACTGAAGCCGCTGACCCCGTAATGAACCCTGTGAACTTGTCCCATCACTCCATAACGAAGTCACTGACCCCGTACCGGAGTAACTAATTCCGTACCGGAGACCGTCACCCCATACCGGAGTCAGTGACCCCGTACCGGAGCCGCTGACTCCGTTCCGGTGTCATCGACCCCGTGCCGTGCCCATGACCATGTACCGGGGCCGCTGGCGTTGATATTGGCGCCGCCTGACCCCATGCCGTACCGTGATGTCGGAGATGAGCTCCTGCTGGTCCTCGATCTGCTCCCAGAAGGTCTGGAACTGGCACAGCTCCAGCAGGGTCGACAGCCGCAGAATGACCCTGATCTCTGGCTTCTCCATCTGCCAGTACCACATCATGATCTCAGAACAGACACCAGATGCTCCCCCCCTCCCCAAGCCAAACGCAGTGGAGCAGCATTGAAACATGAGAAAAACCGGAAAATGGGTTGTGGACAAATTAAGTAGGCATCACAAATGCTCATATGACAGATGTAGATATGTCAACAAATGTATACAGGACAGTCATAAAGTATGCATTGCAAATGTTAATACTAGGTCGTTCAATAAGTAAGGTAAAATGTACCATAGTTCATTTATATGAGGAATTCAAGCAAAACCAAATATGCCATCTGAATCTTTGAACAATTTTCTACACAACCTTCGAAACTGTTTTTGGGAGTTTGGCTCATTGTCCAAACACGGTCGATGTGAAAACATTGATGCAGCAGAGTTCCGTTCTAAAAATCCCCGGTTTGTCACGCGAGCCAAAATTCACCTCAAAATGAGTGAGTGATGACGCTATTGCCATTAGCAATGCTTGCTGGTGAGCAGCTGGTACGATTTCAACAAGAACACAGCAGTGTAAGAGACAAAGTTCTAGAACAGGGTAGACTTTTGCCCGCAGGCCTCTCTGGACTTGGCACAATCTGTAAAGTCGGGGAGCTGATTATGGAGACCCGAAGCATCTGTGTGACTGCTTTCATTAACAGGGTGAAGTGTTATGTCGGAACAGTTCTAGGCATTATCAGATATGCTTGATATTTACAAGGTCATCACGAGGTTAATAAAGCCAAAGAGCTCACTGAACAACAGAAGGACGCCCAGCGAGACATCAGTGTGGGATCGGCTTTGCTTTAGCAGTACAGGAAAGCTGAAGTACAGCCGTGATCTGGCGCCGTCCCACTTGAACCTGTTTGGATCACCGGAATCTTAACTGATCAGGCAATCGATAAAATAATCAAGACATGGCTTTGGAATAGCAATAGGTAAGGAGTTTTCCAAGCAGGATTTCAACGCCGGGTGGAG